GCACGGCGTCTTCTGACACCCCACTCCGGTTCTGGAGAAAACCAGCCGGACTCTGAGCTGTCTGCTCTGCACGCGAGGGGCCCCCTACGCCCCCTCAGGGGCCTCCCTCTGTGGGGCCTTGTTCATGCCACCCTGACTTCTTCTCCAGGGGTGGAAACTCCCCTCCTTCAAGGCCAGCTCAGGTGCCATCTGCTCAAGGTCTCTGGCGTCCCCCACTTACTTCGGGGCCCCTTCTCTGGGACTGCAGGTGCCGCTTACTGCTCGAGCTACCTTCCTATACACCAGAGTTTCTCCCCACCAGGGAGAGGGACTCTTCACTACATCCTGGCCCTGCTGCATGAACAGGGTATTACAGGTGAGTCACTGCATGACTGGGGTGACCTGGGGCCTGGGGCCTGCTGGGCCTGCTTCCCGGAGACAGTCTCTAGGAGAGGCCCCTGGTTCCACCATGTGCCACCAAGAAGTCCTTTGTGAGATGGGACAGTACCCTTACCACCAGGGTAAGGATGCCTAGGACTGGGTATTTGAGGAGACTCTGTGTGTGCAGAAAACCAAAGTAACTGGACTGCCAGGAAAGGGGCAGGAGCAAATAGCACAAACCAGGTGGGCTTTGCTTACCTGGGCCCTTAACCCCTGAGCCATTTTTACATCTCAACTGACCCACCTCCACTCTCGGGGTTCTCAGGATGGGAAGCTCTCAGAAGACCACAGGGAGGCATGTCAGTGCCCTGGGCCAGGGGGCCCCTCGGGGCAGCACAAAGACACCAGCTGGGCTCTAGGAGGTAGGGGTGGGATTTGAGGCCCAATTCAGACACAGAGGCCTTACAGCCAGGTCAGGGTCCCGTGCCCAGGGTCCCTCTGGGCAGCAGCCTGAGCTGGAAGGACCACAGGTCCCAGGGGCAGGCAGGACCTGTGGCCACACTACAGTTCTCTCAGGATGAGGATCTTGACTCTGAATTTGCGAGTATCTTTTGCCTATTTTACCTTTTTCCCTTAATTTCCTAAACACTTTTTGTAGGGAGGTAGGACAGAGGAGAGAGAAATTCCTCAGTGCCTGTCTAAGCTGAGAGGAATGTGACCTGTCCCGGCACAGAACCCAGGGGGAAGGCGCTTGGCAGAGGGAGCAAGAAGCGTGGCCTGGTGGAGCCTTTGTGTGCAGTGGAGGGGACAGAACCTCCCTGGGGAATGGAGCTCTATGCTTGTGGGGTGCGGCTGTATCCTCCTATTCTGTCCCTTTCCAGACATCTCCCTGTCTGCCTGGATCTGTCTCCAGAATCTTGACCTCAGTGGTCCCAAGCCCTCATGGCGGCCCTTCTCAGATTTGCCCAGTGTGGTCTGAACCTTCCCAGGGCAGGGCTACAATCCACTTCCTCTCGTCCAGCCTGGCACCCTTTCAACTTTTCAGGCTCCATCATAGGGGGCTTTCCTGGGTGACATGGAGGTGGGCACACCCTTTGGACTTCCTAAAGGAGGCAGAAGAGTACCCCAGGACCTGCTAATCGTTTACTTACAGGAAGGAAGGAACCCCATCTGCAGACCCCAATCACCTCCCCACTTTCCTTCACTCTCTCCCCACACCAGTCACCCAGAGCTCCATAGCCCTGTCCCAATTCCCAGCCATGAGATCCCTAGGGCTCGGGTGGGGGGGGGG